AGAAAAACCCTGCAGGAGGAAACGGCCACTCACCAACTAAATAAAGACAGCCTGCTTTGTTCTGCAGAGGACTCTGTTTTGCAGCAGCAGCATTTACAGCACTGTATATTTAGCGGTCTGGCGAGGTTAAATACTATTTATCTCCTCCGTGGCTGGAAAAACACATGAGTCACTCTGACAAACACAACGAGCTGCTACTCACTGAGAAAGTCTTACCTGGAGGGTTTCTCTGCACACATAGGCGATCTGCTTCTCCTTTAACGGGCCCGTCACTGTGAACCACACTTTGATTAATAACTCACATTCTGACCAGGAGGGGGAAAGACACAGCCTGCACACACAGTCTCTAAAAAAGATAGGATGTTCTCCTCAGAGTTCATTGTGCTTTCTTCCACGTCTGATTTACAGTAATCATACGAACGTCTCTGAGTGAATGAGGTGATTACAGCAGAACATGTCAGCAGATCATAACATTTAAAGTCAGGGGTTTGGTAATTTCCTCCAGATCCACTTTTTTAGGATTTTGGTTGAAATTGTCTTTAGGTCCTGACAGAAATTAATAGCTCATGTGCTCTGAAAAAGGAACAAAGAAAAATCTGTCAAACCTGGGATGCACGCTTTGAGGGTCACAGCCTCTGTTCATGTGGTGCACAAACTTTTAACTACTACAAATATTCACGATATAAACCGCTTATTAAGAACTGGAGAATTCAAATTTTAAGTTAAAAGAAAAGACAAAGCAGGACTCAAGATGTTTCCTGATCTGAATACACAAAGACAAACAACTGAAGCACAGAGGTGAAGTATATCAATCTTTTTCATCCCGCTCGGGTTGAGATGAGCTGCAGATAATATTCTAATAATCACTCAAAGTGTATTTAATATAAACATTGTTTAATACCGTGGTACATATCCTGCAGTGAGCCTCCTCCACAGTACTCCATACAGATCCACAGCTTGGTGTTCCTGCAGAGACACAAACATCATCTGAGTATTAAAGCGTTTATATGTAAAGGAAACACAAACGAAGACGCTCCCTAAAAATCTGAAGGACACACAAATGCAGACGCTCCCTAAAAGTTTGAGCACAAATGTAGACGCTCCCTAAAAGTGTGAAGGAAACACAAACGTAGACGCTCCCTAAAAGTCTGAACACAAACGTAGACTCTCCCTGAAAGTCTGAAAGAAACACAAACGTAGACGCTCCTTAAAAGACTGAAGGAAACACAAATGTAGACGCTCCCTAAGAGTCTGAAGGAAACACAAATGTAGACGCTCCCTGAAAGTCCGATGAACGCCCACAAACACAAAGAATGATGAGTGAGCTGCTGTCTGAGCCACGAGTGGGAGAAGAATCCAGCAGCTGTGGGGACAAATACAGACAAAGACTTGAAGAAACTGTATCATCTGAAGAGTCTGCAAACTGACTTCAGCTCACCTGTGGTAGCTTCCGAAGTATGCCACAATGTTTTTGTGTTTGCACTCCTTCATCATGGTAATCTCCTGCTGGATGGTCGTGATGTCATCCCCTGTACGCACACACACGGTTAGAGTTCAGACTCAATAACAGACCAGTAAACTACAGGGTTAGAGCACTGGGAACACTGGTGGATCAGGTTGTATGTGTTTGTTTATCAGACTGAAGTGAAGCCTCGTGCAGGAGACCTTATTCAGAAAAAATCAGTCTGTAAGGGCGTTAAAGAAAATGATACTGATGTTAATCTGCTCTTTAAGGAAGTCAACTCCAGGTCTGTGCTGAGTTCTAAAGTCTCTGTTCTGAACGTCTTCAGATGGTGAGAACGTCTTGAGTATCTATTGAGACTTTATTAAACCCAGAGGGAAATTAGAAATCTTTGAGTGTTCGTCAGGACTGAGAGGTTGTGTGAAGTTTATCCTACCCGGGTCGAGCTTCACAATCTTGATAGCTGCCAGTTCGGACGTCCGGATGTTACGAGCCTGAAAAAGGAGAGCAAACGAACAATAAGCATATTTTAACATGTACATTATAACCTGCTCTCTTATTGTTTCTCACAGGACGAGGAGAAGAAGCTTCAGACTCATGAAGGTTGTTCTGGTTGATCTCTTTTTACACGTCGGGAAATAAACGATACAATCATAAGAGCTTTTTATTTACAGGCCGTTCTGATGATTCTCAGACTTTTCACTTTTCAGAAAATGTGTGCTCAAACAGGCCGTTTGGAGATTTTCCCTTCATGACATCACAAAGGGCATCACCCACAGCTAGGTGTTTGTTCTGCCCTCTGAGTCTGCCTTCTCACCATAAACAATAGGACATGGAGCAAGAAAGCCCGAGACACCCGAGCCCTTCCAGAGAGGGGGCGTGGTCAGACACAGCTCATTTACATATTTAAAGGTACAGACACAGAAACAGCCTGTTCTGAGCAGGGCTGAAATAGAGGGGTTTATAGACATGATCAAACACAGGATTAGAGTGGATTTAGAACAAGAGACTTCACAGACATTTTGAGGAGCTCTGAGACTTTTTTTAAACTGGTTGAAGAGGAGGAGAATATGTGACCTTTAAGTAACACAGTTCATCAAAGCTTTTACAAACTGGCCAGAGGAACATTCCAGAAAAATGTGGAGAACAGGTGTTAGTCCTGTTCTGCTGAGTGTGTTATCAGAGCACATCAGGTGAACCATAAGAGAATTTCTAAACATCCCTAAACACACACACACACACACACACACACACACACACACACACACACACACACACACACACACACACACACACACACACACACACACACACACACACACACACACACACACACACACACAGACACAGAGAGACACAGACACACACAGAGAGACACACACACACAGGTACACACATACACACAAAGAGGTACACTCACACAGAGACAAACACAGAGACACACACACACACACACACACATACACACAAAGACACACACAGAGACACACACAGAGACACACACACACACACACAAAGACACACACAGAGACACACACACACACACACACACACACACACACACAGGGCAGGATAAGATCTGGATGGTCTGTCTCTCATTCTGAGCTCACATTGTGTAAATGTAACTCGTCCTGATTGACCCCATTCTTTAAAACATCCTTCCTGTTGTCTTTGCGTGCAGCAGGTGAAACTTTACACATCACCTGTTTCAATTGTTGATACCAATAATAGTTTGTCCCAGATGCAGGTGCAGACACACGAGTAAAGACCTGATAGAAACAGCTCAAAGAGACTCTTCCTGGATAATTCATGTTTTGGTTTGTTTTTGTCGACTCGGGACGTTTCTGGGCGGCGAGCTGGTGTGTTTCCTGTTGGACAGGCAGGTGTCAAACAATGGCGGTTAGCTTGTGCTAGCGTTTGTTAGCTTGCAGTGTAGGAACAAGCAGTAAACGTACACACTACATCCTGCTGAGAGCTTCAGGGGGAGATGAGCCCAGGAGGAGGGCTGCTGTCCAGGTCTGGGAGAAGAGAGTCTATGTAAGAGGTTTGAATGGCTTACGTAGAGGATTGAAGCCGTCTGGTGAAAGTCTTGGTTTCATATCGGGAACTATGGCGTGATTTACAGAACAAGTCGTTTACCTCATGATCTGAAACTTTGCACACGTTTAGTTTGGACATCCTGCATTGTAACACTAAATGAGAGTAATGTTGTTTCTCCTTAACACTTAGGAAAAACACTTTATTTACAACAAAACAGAATTTCACACACACACAGGGTTGTCATTTCCGGTTGTTCTCTGGAGATCTCGACTTGAAATCATTATCTGGAGATAACAGCGAAGGCTTCGCCGGGAAAATTATGGAATATCTTGAGAAAATGACTGAAATCAACTCGTCATCACAGGAAAACTGAATTAAATCAAATGCTTGGCTGTATGTCCTCTTAGGGCTTCCGTAGTTTACAGCTGTAAGGCCTTTTGCTCAGCAGCCTTTCTGGAAAACATAGAGCTAAACTCTTGCTTCTTTAACTTCTTTCTGTGAGATCAGCTGTTACGTGAATAAAAAGGCAAGGCCGCAGTTTTGAACTTCTAGCAGGCATAGATCTACATTTTACTCCTCTTAGAGTCCCAGACTCACAGACAAGTAAGTTAAAGGTGGATGAATCGGAGGCAAAGCTTGGGGTGGAGGTGATGCTTTGTATTTTTAGACTGCAGAGCTTTAAATGCTGACGTCAAAACTAAGTCAGATCGGGTCAGCGTCCGTCCTTATCTCCCAGGATGAACCTGTGAGCCGAGTCTCTCCACATCAGTCCATCAGAAGTGATGCTTCATGTTTGTTTCTGAGCAGTTTTACTCTGTTTTTAACTTCCCGGGAACATTAGTCTTCTCCATTCATCACCCGCTCTGACGTCAGACGCTCTTGCTTCACTGTAAACGACACAACCTGCGCCGCGCTGCGCTCAACGTCCTGTTTTCTTTCCTGTTCTGCCGCAGAACTTCCTGTGACAACGCTGATAGAGACGCCTCCGAAAAAAACCGTCTCTGAGCGGCTTTACATGGAGAGCCTGTAATAACAGCTGACATCAGGGTGACATAACGAGGCGGGAGGAAGAGGAAACTGTGCTGCACTTTGATCAGAAGGTCATCAATCAAGCCGTAATTCATACATAATGAGAGCACCCCCCCTCCCCCTTCTCATTTCCTACTCAACACAGAGGTAAAACACGAGGTCTAAACGCTGAAGTCAAAACGAACAATGTGAATGAAAACAGCTGCTTGAAGCACGATAACAGAGACAGACGTAAAACCAAAACAACGCGCTTAAAGGAGCTAAAAGCTCGGAGCGCTCGATGTGGATATTTATTTTGAACAGTGAGGAAACTATCGATCAGAAACAGGCAGATATATGAAGGTACAAAGACGAGAGGGACACACAGGAGGCTTAATCTCAGAGGATCCATCTGTGTCACAACAAAATAAGGAAACAAGCAGAGACACGGAGCACATCCTCGAGGGGAGATCTGAACAAAGAGCGAGATTCATAAAGCAGATTTCTTTTTATGAATCAGCTCCAAAAGCCTCCAGACTCCAGACGAGACATCCGCATCAACATCAGACCTCCAACTGAATTCATCAAACCAGAGACCCTCAAACCAAACTGTGATGAGAGCCAGACGACGAGCTCTGTCTCAGACCGCTACTGATGGTGTCTCATTAAAAAACATCGACCCACTGAGAGTGACTGAATCACATTACTGTTTACATTCATAAACAGGAAGCTGCAGAAACACCTGCAGGTTTTAGGCCGATCAACAGGCGCCAACAGGTCTTCATTTGTTCTGTTTTAAAGGGCCGGACTCCTCGATCTAGCATCAAGTGATGATTACTGCAAAGATGAATAGGACAAAAAACAACTTCTGGCCGATCTGACTTTCAAAATCAATTCTGAACTGCCCCCTTCCACCACCCCCCATCTTCTCTTTGAACCTGTCACATTCCTCGCTGAACATATGGTTGATATTTCACGCGTCTGTGGAGCTTACACGCTGGCATGATGTCTAGAAGTATTGACATTAATCATTTGGAAAAGATTATCATTCTGACTAGATTTCATTTGATTTATTAGAGAAGGTTAAAGGAGCAGTATGTAACTCTGGCCCCTAGTGGTTAAAATGGGTACTGCAGTCTAAATTCTAAACATTGTAGAGAGCTGTCTCCCCCTCCTCTCTAGAGTCGATGTTCATGCAGGTCACCATGTGGTGGACACTGAAGCTTCAGTGTTTATCCAGCTCTGCATCGGTCTGTAAACCTTTCTGTGTGCTAACCTCTCTCCATTTTTCAAAAGCATCTCCAATATTGATCCTAGTTTAAGCACACCCCCTCCCCAGAATAAAATATATCATGAGGAAAACAACTTGTCTTTTCATTTTACACACAGCATACATTGACACCAACGGATTAGTGCAGTTTAGACAGTGTGCAGGAGTTTGCCTTCAAAAATTGGGGGTTAAAAACAAGAAATTGCACGAATATTTGGTGTGTAGGACTTCTACTATTTTACAATCTGCAATAATGAATAATGAAGTTATTGGTCCAAACAAATCCAGAGCATTCAGGAGCAGAATCTAAAGTTAGAAGGAGGACATACTGGCTGCTGCATTGTTGTCAGAGATGCCATCACTTCAACATAACATGTTTCCTTAATGTCTGATCATATAGTAAGATCACTTAATCATTTCAGTCTCTATACATCTTACTGATTGGACCTTTAGGACAATATTAGAAGAATGCTATTAAAAACAGACACGGCTCTAGAAAAATAAGTAGCATCACTAAAGACGTCTGTAGATCAGAGCAGTAGTTCACCTCTGTGACATCAGCATGAATCCTGCAGAGTTACTGAAACCTTTAGAGTCTGTCTCTGAGGAAGTCTGAACACAGTGATGTATATGTTCAAACAGAGCTTCATAATCTGTATTAAACCTGCAGCTCGCTCTGACTTCTGTCGGGTCTTTGCACAAATGTATAAAATCTCAGACTCTTAATAATCGGCTTCATGTCTCACAAGTTAAATCCACACGAGGAACATAAACGAGTGAGTCATGATGTTGAGGAGCACCGAGTCAGAGACAGAAGAAGGACACGGTCTTTTCTTATTTCCACCAACGCACAACGACAAAACAAAACAGAGGGACATGCGCTTTCTTCTGCTGCTCTTATTTCCAAAGCCACATGTTGTCATGTTTAACTAACTAAAAACTGGTTGGCTGCAATAAAGCGACAAGCAGTTGAGGCTGATGGAGGAACAGGAGGCAGCTGCTGTGCATTCTGGGAGTTGTTGTCTTTCATCCACATGAGCCAGAAAGACTCTTTCTGCCTTTTCAAGGTCAAATGTTTTTCACAATTCTACTACATATATGACCCAATGTCAATACTGATTCATGTTTCAACCGGTGAAGTATCCCTTTAACTCTGCCCTTAAAAACTCGACTTCT